GATGAGAGCTCGAGAACTGAAAGATCTCAGACAACTTCACCTTAATCGGCACAGTACTTGGGACGTCGAGGCATAGCCGGCCGGGCTATGCCACGGTCAACTACACCTCGGTCGGCACAAGACTAGGGACGCCAAGGCATAGCCCGGCCGGCTATGCCTCGGCCAACTACACCTCGGTCAACACAAGACTGGGGATGCCGAGGCATAGCCCGGCCGGCTATGCCTCGGCCAATGAACTAAAATTGCAGAAGTACAAAGAGGTCACCCAAGGCACAACCTGCCCTGGCCCGCGCAGTAGCCCGGCTGGCCACACCCCGGCCGACAAAAAATTATACAACAAGATGTCGAGGCATAGCCCAACCTGGCCCACGCCGTAACCCGACCGGCCACACATCGGCAAACATAAGAAAATTGTACAACAAGATGCGGAGGCATAGCCCAGCCCGATACACACAATAGCACGACCAGACATGCTTCGGCTAGAAAAAGAAAAAGGTACAAGTATAGCAACATATGGTCAGACAAAGAAACACTAATAATCAACTCAAAATCGTTCATTACATTGTTTAAGGCTCGACATACTGAGTCCAGAAGAAAAAAAAAAACAGAAAGAAGGCAGTCGCTCAATCCTTGGCGGCAGAGTCAGCAGCACCATCAACGGCTTCGACCTCAGCATCAGGTCCCTCGGCGGATCCTTGCAGAGAATCTGGATTGAAAGCACACCAACCCTGTGACTCATTGGCCAACTTCAGATGGCAGCGAAGGATCCTTCGTCGGAAGAGATTGAACCCAACCGCGAAGGAAGCCTCGGCGTACTCATCCATTTGCAGCTACATCTCCTTCGACGCCTTGTACTCATTGACGGCCTCCTCAGTGGCCTCCAGCCTCAACTTGTCTCGCTCTGCCTTAAGCTCAGCGATCTCTCGCTTCAGCTCCCAAACAAGGCTGGCCAGTCGGTCAGTTGCACCTTTAGCTCAGCCACCTCCCTCTCCAGTGTGACCGATCGCTCCCCAGCAGCCTGAAGCTCGATCAACTGGGCCTTCTACCGTAGGTACTCGAAGTGTTCCTGCTCGTACACTGACCGGAGGTCTCGAAGATGATCAACCAGTGCGACCACCGCACAAGCATTCTGTAGACAAACATGATAAGCATACCAAAAAAGAGAGCGAAACAGAAGGAATAAGAGGAGGGGACTTACCTGGGTAGCAGACCGCAGCAACGCACACTCCAAGGCTCCGCTGCCGACCCTGACTGATTCTCGAGCTATTGACATTGTCATGATTCCCCGTAGTAACTGCTCGTGAACCCCAAGCGTCTCCAGATTGTCATCCACACGAACCGACCACTTCGACACGTGCAGACCTGAGCTGCTACCTACCTCAGATACCGATGCACCTATGAGACAACAAACCCCTTTAGGATCAACCACGACAGCGTCATCCTCCCCGGCCTCCCGCTGCCAAACTTTCCTTTGTCACGAGCCGCCCTATCTGCGGATCGTGGTTGCTCTTCTGTCTTGGGATGAGCTTTCGGTTACACACCGACTCGCCCCTGCCTTTGCCGAAGTACCTTCATACTTATACCTACAACACAAAATACCCAAGGTAAGTAGAAAGCGGGCAAGGTAAATTTAACTCGGCGAACAAATAGTAAAGGAAACAGATCGGCCACCCTCTCCATCAACTCGGCGAGCAACAGCATCTCCGAGCATGTGTACACGATAACGTCGATTTCATGGATTATGCTCAGGGCCGACCTCTCCTCCCAAGTGAGCATTGACCATTGGGGTTGCGGCAGAGTCATCCTCGGCTCCCACAGCTCAGCAGGAAAAGGGAGACCCCCAGGGATGCGTACGAAGAAGAACGACTCCTTCCAGTGCTTCACAGAAGGGGCCCCGACCAACGACCGAATATTCCGTCGATTGGAGAAGTAATAGTACCCCTGTCGGTGGTGTTTCAGGTGGAGCATAAAGCTCACCATCCTAGGGTTAGTTCGATATCGCAGACAACACAGTAGGAAATAAGGCCGAATAAGAACCTAAAGGAGTTTGGCATCAACTGCACCGACAACACCCTATACTAGTTTAGCACCTCGGTGAACCCCTCGCTCAACAGGAACCTCAGCCCAGCCTCCAAGCTATGCTCATAAACGCATAGCTCACCGGGCTAAGCATCATCGGCAAACTGCAGGTGGGTTACCCGGACATTGTTCCTTCCAATCCTCTAGCCTCTAACTTCCTCTTCCCTATCTGCTTTAGAGATTAATCTACTGAAGACATCTGCAACTAGGGTAAAAAGAAAAGAGGAGAGAGGGTCACCGTGTCTAAGCCTCTACAAGCTAGGAAAAAGTCTTTCACCACCCCATTAACCAAAACAGAGTAATGGCAGGAACTAATACAGCCCTTTACCCAATTAAACCATCTAGCTCCAAACCCACAACACCCTAGGACTAGTAAAAACTCCAATCCACAAGATCATAAGCCTTCTCCAAATCTAGTTTACAAACGAAACCTTGGGCTCCTGACTTTCTCATATCCTCCACGCACTCATTTGCTATTAGGATCTGATCCGTTATTTGCCTTACCTGCACGAAAGCGCCTTGTTCTTGACTGATGATGTAGGGTAGTACTACTCGGATTCTCAATGACAACACTTTAGCTAGGATTTTATAGATTCTTGTCACTAGACTGATTGGCCTATAGTCCTTAGGGTTCTTTGCATCTGCCTTCTTTGGGATTAGGGCTAGGAAAGTAGCATTGACTCCAGGGCTCACCGTTTTTTTATCTGCAAATTCCTGAAACACCCCAACAAGGTCTTCTTTGACCACATCCCAACAATCCTGATAAAAAGCCATTGTAAAGCCATCTGGACCAGGTGCTTTGGATCTATCCATTGAAAACACCGTTTGTCTGATCTCTTCTTCACTAAAATCCCTTTCTAACTAGTTTGATTGTTCTTCGGACAATCTAGTCCACTCCAAATCTTCCAAGGTTGGCCTATTATTCAACGTTTTCCTATAAATTGATTTGAAATGATCCACAAAACATATGGCTATCTCATCTTGATTTGTGAGTTCCTCCGCATTCACCTCTAACTTAGCCACAAATTTTTTTCTTCTCCTCCAATTAGCCAGTGCATGGAAAAATTTAGTATTTCCATCGCCTTCCTTAATCCATTTATGTCACGACTCTTGCCTCCACGAGATTTTCTCTCTCAAAAGGACCTCTTCCAAGTCCTTCTTTAGATTTCCTCTCAAAACTCGTTCTTGCTCACTCACTCATCATCCTTTGAACTTCCTTGGAATCAAGTTCCTCAATCCTGTACATCAAGTCAATTTTTTGCTCCTTTATCCTTCCAAAGTGTTCCCTATTCCACTCCTTAATTTTGGATCTCAACCTTTTCAATTTTTTGTGGAATCTTACTCCCTTCCAATTCACTCCTCTTAATTCTTCTCTCCACCATTCCCCAATCAAGTGCACAAAATCCGGATGAGTTAACCACATATTCTCAAATCTAAAAGGCCAAGGACCAGAAGTTAAGGTTTCAGGGCTTAGCTAGATAGGGCAGTGATTAGGTGACTCTGGGTAAGGCTCTAACCATCAAGTTCGTCCAATGGTTCTCCTACTCTTCAGTAAAGAGGAATCTGTCTAATTTCGAGCAAACGGGGTTTTCTTGGAAATTCGACCATGTAAAATTGGCTTCTAAGAGGGGTAACTCCTTTAGACCACAATTATTAATGAAATCATTGAAATTCCTCATGCTGGTTATAATTGTCCTTTGGGGGTTATTAGATTCGGTACAAAACCTAATTACATTAAAGTCCCCCCCAAGACACCAAGGACCCTCCCACAAACCTCGTATGGCATACAACTCTTCCCACATCTCACTCCTCTCTCTCTATATGAGTTTGGCCCATAGACATTGGTTAAGACCCAGGTGAAGCCATCCCCCACATTCCTAACCTTTAAGGACATAGAAAATCTTCCTATTAGCTCCTCCACTGATTCTATAGCATCCTCCCTCCATAATGTTAATAGACCTCCAGAGGCTCCATAGGACGGCGCCGAAGTCCAACAAACTCCTCTTGATCTCCATACACTTCTGATCCATCTTCTATCCAATTTTGCCAACTTGGTTTCCTGCATCAAAACTATGTCCGGATTCTCTCTCCTCAATAAATCTTTAATTGCCCTTCTCTTTCTTTCACTTCCCAAGCCTCTCACATTCCAACTAATGATCTTCATCAAGCACTTTTTCGAAAAGACCCCTTCTCAAAGACTCCACCTTACAACAAAGTCTTTCTTCTTTCTCCTCTCCCATTAAATTCAATATCTGAAATCAATCTCTCCACTTAAGATCTGTTTTTCTTTTTACTCCTATTGTTACCCTTAGTCTTCCTCATTAATTCCATAAAGTGGAAATAACTTGGATATGGAGCTTAAGGATAAAAGGTTCCACTTGGGTGGGTTCAGGTTTGAACATTGATTAGTAAATGAATGGGCCTGGCCCGAGAGCCCCAGCCCATTGCTGTGTAAAACCTTCAAATTGGGCGCCCAACGTGCACCACTACAAGAAACGTGATCAACCAATAATATTTCTCTGTCCTTATTTTCCGAGGATTAAGTGCCAGTTTTAAGTGGGTTACATCAAGTTTTCATTTGTACCCACTTGTAATGTAAATGTTGCATTCCAAAAACTGATACAAATTTTGCACCATCTTCCTTCCTCATAGATAAGGGTGCAACTTTTGCAGGTTATGGTTGGGATTTTGTCAAAATTTTAATGGGCCCAATCCAAAGTCCGAGTTCAAAACAGTGTAAACTGTTAATTCGGGCCAACCTGACTAGCACCCCTACTCAGAAAGTGGGAATCATATCATCTTACTTCTTGAAAAAAAATTAACTTTCTACATACCTCTACGTTTTCATGTAACCAATCGAGGACTTACTCATTAGTGTATTAATTGACTTGTTCCAACATTGATGCGGAATCAAATGGGTCTGGGGGAAGTTATTAATAGTGCTAATACCAAAAAAAAAAAGTACTCTTTTTCATGTAAGGTGAGGATTACACCATTTTCAAACATACAAGCCCATATACATGCACAGGCATAGGTTGACATAACAATGATGACAAAGATGCAGAATACTGAATACCACTTTATAATAATCTACCAATAACTAATTCATGTACTACCCAGTACTCACCAACATATATAATCAAAAGCACTCTTCATCCACATAGGCCATCAACACTTCTAGAGATAGCAAAACATTAAGCTAGTAATTCGTTGAAGAGGGATTGGAATTTCTTCAACTCCTTAATTGGAAGAGCCACTAGAACATTTACCCCATTCCCCTTGGTATCCTCATTAATGTCAGGGAGTAAAAGAATAAGGTCCTTCTTATGATGGACTATAGGGCAACAGTACTTGGGCCTCCCCCAAGGGTACTCCACTTGAGAAAACCCTAATCTCCACCATGAAGATATGAGGACGTCTCCCATTGGGAACCCTTTATTCAATTCGCCCCAATCAATAACAGACCTAATGTACTCGTCCTCAAGTCTCCTGGCTCCATCTGAGACCATCTCTACCAAATGGGAGAAGGGACCCCCTTCAATTTCACTGAAAGAGGCCGTAGCGTAAGCCATGACCACCGCATTACCGCCGTAGGATGGTGGAAGTGGAGGAGATAGCCTACGTCGAATGTCAGCTGCGTAAAGGACGGTCGACGTCGACTTCTTCTCTGGACTCTGTCCTACGTCCTTTGCCAGGGCCATGCACCGCCACACATGGGCCGTGACAACATTGAAGCTAGTGGCATGGGTAGGAGTAGGACCATTCTTGCTTTGCCCAAGCTTTGCCTTCTCTTTTAGGTGGTAGATATCATCTGTGCTTAATGGGAAAATCTTGAACTCCAGATCCCCATATGTACTTTGGAGTAGTGCTGTTGTGTGAGACTGATCTATGCCGTTGGGGATCTCAAACCTCACTAGTTCTGGGTGAGGGAAGTTGATGGTTGGTGGAGATCTAGCAGCTAAGAGTTGGCGGTCATTGCATGGAGTAACCGCTAGTGGTTTGTTGCCGACAAGAGAAGCCAGATTGTGTAGGAACATTTTGAAGCCTATGCCATCAAATAATACATGATTGGTGCATACACCCATGGCAAAACCACCACATCTGAAGGATGTTACCTGCAAGTACATGTATGACATTTACTAGTTCCAAGTTAGTACTTTGAATTGGGATATGCTCCTCCAACAAGTTAAAAACCTGTCCCAAACATGATCTATATGCATGTCTCACCATAAGACTGGGACCCACCAAGTCTGAGATGTAGATCATGTTGGAACAGTATTTTGTTGAGAGTAAGTATATGTTTGGTATGGCTTTTTGTCTACTAAATAAATGTTTGTACTTAATTTATCTTCAAAGCTGAGAAAAAGTGGTTGGTAAACGTTTTTACAGTTTGACACCATTAGGCACAACATAAGCGGAATAATAAATAAATATTTTTTATATTAAAGGGAAAACGTTAAAATGAATAAATGTAAACCAAGACAAACATTTATAAGATAGACATACGAAATAGCATGATGGGACAACATGGCACCACTTATCAAATAAGTGGAAACCTTACCAAACACCCTGTAAATCTGTTCTTTTTGTGCTGGAGCTGGGATTTGCTCTTAAGAAAAAACGGTTCCAACAGGTTTCCAGCATCATCTAATATCCACATATCTCACCATAATACTTGGACCCACCAAATCTAAAATGTATGGGTACGGATCATGTTGGAACATTTTTTTTGTTGGGAGTAACTCCAATCTCTTTGTGCTGGAGTTGGAATCTGCTTCCAACAAAACTGTCCCAACATGATCCACATCCACATATCTCATCATAAGAATGGGCCCCACCATGTCAGCCCCTAAAAAGGAAATATAAAAGGCAAGATCTAAGTTATTTTTCCTTTTTCCTTTTTTTTTTATTTTTGAGATTAATTCTTAATTTGAGAAGACTAAAAAGAGTAGAAATACAAATATATACAACACAAATACCTGAACTGAGCCTAAATGATTTCAAGTTAGAGAGGTCTGACTACTCTGCTTGGCGTATCAGACACTTGATTGCCAACCGTAGGGCATTCCACAAAATTTCAAGTTCCAAGTTTACCAATATATTGAATAGAGAATGTTTCCTATGTTAAAAAAATGTGTCGAAGGTTACCAATCCCCACTCTATTTCTAAGGATGCAAACAGATCAGGTCAGATTCGAATTAGGGCATATTTAAATCCAACAGAATACTATAAACCTCATATCCAATCCAATCTAAAGATCTAATCAAATCTCGAAAAGGTCAATTAGAATTTGAATCCTTAATCATATATATACGTCTTTTTATAAAAATATAAACTTAAATATTTATAAATAAATAAGTAGTATTACATATGAATATCGGATCAGATAGCGAATAATCAATTATTCGATCTGATCCAAATAGAATCGGACCTGAATTTGGATGAGATCCGATCCATTTGCACCCTATCTGTTTCATTGATGTGTATAAACAAATAATTATATTTGAGCTTATATCTCGATTCAGTGGCTGATACAACTAAGTAGATCCATGACTGCAGGGCTACAGCCAATTTGACTTCATGATCATAAGCCCAGTACTTTGTTTTAATAATGATTCAATATAACACCTAATCGGCCAGCTATGACACAAACTATTTCTAATCCCGGGCCCCGGGTAAAATGATGGGGTCTATGATGGTAGGGTCAGGTGCAAGTCATGCCAATACAAGGGGGTCCCACATACTAATAATCGTGTAGGAGCGCTATCACCTCGGCCCATCATTTTCATACAACTGTTGAGGTCATAAAGTGACATACATGTCAATACAAGGAGGGTTGTGTGGTCCTAGCTCATCCCCGTATATCATATAGATCCAACAATACTCCCATACATTAGCATTTGCCTGATGTATTTATTTCAAGGTTTCAGTTGCAAAATATGGTGATTTGTGGTTAATAAGTATTGTTGAAATATATATATAAAAGAATTTGTTTATCTCTTAAATGAGAGAGAGAGAGAGGGAAACAGTTCGGATCTCCCACCCATAAGAACCCTACCATTGGTTTGTAAATGATTGGGAAAGAGTATAAAATCAGAAAGATTATCGAACCAGCGCGGTGGTGATGGTGTCATTGGGGACTCCCATGAGATCCCTTCAACGCTCCTCAATTCCTCATTCAGAGATGAATAAACTGGCCCATTGATTGCAATGCCACAATAGGACCAGATTTTGCACGGACCCCCATCAACTCAAAGCTAACCGGAAACCAGATGGGTTGACCATTTAACCCAATCCATTGATACAGTTGGAAGTTGAGATAATAGCATCGTCTTTAAGACTCTAGCGTGCGCGTGTATTAAACATCTCTGTCAAGGTTGGTGTACTTGTTGCTTAAGTTTAGACCTTAGACATGAGTAATAAATTTGGATATTTGTAATTGATAAGCATTGAACAATAAACAGGTAGAGCCATAAACGAGTTAGATAACATAGTGGTCAGCGTTTTTCTGTTTCGGGTAAATTGTTGAAATCTCCCATTTTTTGACAAAAATGTTTATTTTCCGTTCATATGAATCACCATCTCAAACTCTTTCAATCTCTTTTATAAATTAATTTATTTTTTAAATTTTCCCATTATATCAATCATTAGAGGTATAAATCGGGCTGTGCTGGGCTGGGCATGTCATGGCCCGTGCTTTTGGCGGCCAAGTCAGGTCGTGCTTCCCTCTCTTGGGATATTTTGGGGGATCAGTCAGGTCACGGACTGGGCCAAACGCCCAAATCATGAGGTATTTTAAAAAATGAAAAAAAAAATAATAAAAATTTTAAAGTAAATTAACAAAATAGACAAAAAATTTAAAAAAAAAAAGTCTTTAAATTTTATTTTATATGAATCTTGATGTATACAATTGTTTATATATGCAAAATAAAATGAAATAGTAGAATAAAATTGAAAATAAAATGGGTTGCACCAACATATGGGCCATGGCCAACACGGCACGCACAGTCGTGTCGTGTCGTGCCGGCCCATGGACCTAAAACCCCAGGCCTAACACAACCCATATGATCATGCCGTGCTAAGCATAGCGATGCAACTTTAAATTCTCTTTGTTTTTATTGTTCATAAAGTTTGTATTGTTTTTTTAATAAAAGACAGCCTCAATGGTAATTATATGGGGTATTTTGGGCATTTTCATGTCCTTTTTTAAAAAATTCTATCGAAAAGGGTCTATCTGCAACTGTATCAAAAAGTTAAGTAAAGGTGATTTTAATAACTAAACTTCAATAGTCACAAACATCAGGGGAGATTTTAGCAATTTACCCTTTTATTTTTAAGCCATCAAGTGAGCAAAACGCTTTGAAGAATAACCCTAATTCAAAAAAGAATAACCTTAAAATCTTGCAGCAACATAGGTGTAAACCTCATGTGATTAGGCTAAGTTATCATCAACACTTTCCCTCAGCTGTGGCTTCTATTAAATGGAGGGTACAAATCACTTTTTTATAGTAGACATTAAAGCCACATCATCCAATATTCAAAATTAAATGATATAAAAAATAAGCAGACGTAGCCTTATAATCTACCATAAAATGTGATCGTACCTACATTAAGGACCGAAAGTTTTTTATTGATTCATTCCAAGTAAGAAAAGGCAAATGTCACTTGTGGATGAATTATCCATGGTCATGGCTTGACGTGACCAAATAAATCTGTATAGGAAGTGTTCCCTTATACATGTGTCAACATTTATGTCTATCGTAAATGAAAATAGACGTGAAGAAAAACTTGCCAAAAAGTGTACGAGATTTGAAGTTAGATCTTTTGCGTAAAAAATCATGTACACACTATGCACAAAAGTTAGGTTCAAAATATCAGTATTGAGTATCATATCAATAATCATGAGTACAAATACGTATCATGATGCTTTTTTGATATACTTGGATACGATGGAAAAACACGGATACACTTTGATATAACAAAGAGATTCTTATAAATCCCATAAATATATTAATAATACTAGCTTTAAGGTTGAAAATATATAGGGAATGAGTGAATTTTTAGATGATGTTCAAATCTCCAATTGAGCCTAAATTTTAATACAAATTAGAAAGTAAATTCATGCAATACATGGGTTAGAAAGAAATTTAGTTAGGTTTTGAGTTTAGGCCTAGGGTTTGGATCCATTGAAAATTTATCAAACATCCAACCTAATATGTGACCCAAAGTTGGACCTCTTTTTGGGTTTTAATATCACTTAGGTCCAGGATAGGGTCCATATTTAGAGCCTGTCAAGGTTTGTCCCTTAACCTGACCCAAATACATCAAATTTTTACCCCTAACCTGGCCCAAATACATGAAATTTATACCCCTAACCTGACCTAAATTCATGACATTTGTATCCCTATTTCATTATAGAGAACAAAAAAGGATTAGAGAGATTTAAGAGGAAATGAGGGATTTAATAGGATAGGGGAGATGTTACAAATTAATATCAACAATGTAATATGTACATATAGATAGATAGAGAGAGAGAGAGAGAGAGATTTATGATTATAAAGAGCGGAAATGATGATTAAGAGAGATTTAAGAGAAAATGATGGCTTAATTTAATGGGTTAGGGAAGATGTTGCAAATATTGACAATGTAACAGAGAGAGAGAGAGAGAGGGAGGGAGAGATTTATGATTATAAGAAACAATTAAGATACAAGACAGTTGTTTTTAACAGTAACGAAGGATTTTATGAGAGTTAATACCTAAATATGTTTTCACTAATTTGAACATAAACAACTACATGTGTGAAAAATGAGAGAAGCAAGGTGTGAGCTATGTGGTGAGAGGTCCCCTCACTTCCCCTATTTCCTCTTTATATTATATACCAGCAAATAAACCCATAAAATTACATGTGGTTGGCAATTTGAGGGGCAGAGCCAGGAAATTGTTATAAGGGGGGCCAAAACATAAATGAAGTATGGATGGGCCCATAGGGTGGGGGTGGGGGCAACCATTGAGATGGAGAATGGGATGAAGGGAAATTTTACATGGAATGATGAAAAGCTGTATTACAGTGGGGATTTTCTGAACCATAGGGGGGGGGCATGGCTCCCCTGGCTCTGCCCTTGGCAATTTACATAGGTTTGGATTTGCAAGTTTAGGTTTTGAGATCAGTTTATTTCAAGGTTAAGGTCCATGGTCTAGAGTTGGCCCTTAACCCCACCTAATCCATCTAATTTATATCCATGATTTATTAGAGAGAATCAAATTAAAGAATTTCAAAGATATTTAATAGAAAATAAGAGATTTAATGGAGGAGGGGAGATGTTACAAACATTAATAATTGACTATTGAAAAGAGAGGGAGAGAGAGAGAGAATTAACAATAATTTTATTAGAGAAAAGTAATGATAGATTTTAATAGAAAATATTAAGACATAAGAGGGTTTTAACTTTTAAAGAAAAGGCATGAGTGTTTTTAATATTTCACTGTGAAGGAGAGAAGGGGAGACTCAGTGTGAGGCCTATGGTGATGAAAGACCCATGGCATCTACATACTCCTCTTTCTATTATATATATGTGCCACACCAAGCATCTAGCCAGGTCAGATGGATTCTAGGTAATGAGTAATGACAACCAAGAGATAACATCAGTGCCCCATATGCACATCTCAGCATGCATTAAGAACATCTGCTGCACTTGTCACTGGGAGGTGTTCCCAATACACGGTTGTGATGCCTGTGGGCACTGATGTGAGTTCAACAACAAAAGAATAATTTTGAAATCATAGCTGATGAAGTTAAAACACTCTCATGTGCTAACCCTACCATGTTTATCACCGGCTTTGGGATCTGTTACAACTTACAAACAACACATGTACAATGGGCTACGTAACTCTATCATGAATAAAAATGTTAATTTGGTACATCTACTAATTAATCCTAGGGATTGCAATGTATTTATCCATGATTGAATTACGTAGACCATTGTACATGCCATATTTGTAGCAGATTGGAGTCTCACCCATTGTAGGAATAAAGCCAGTAGGTTGATTCGTTTGGTTGCATGCCATATTTGTAGTAGATCGGAGTCTTTATCACCCATTGTAGGAATAAAGCCAGTAGGTTGATTCGTTTGGTTGCAGTACAAATTTCATTTGCATTGGTGTAAATTAAATGCATGAGAATGCAAAAGGGTAGATATTGAATTGAATATAAATTCTAGTACCTGTAGAGCACAAAGGGGCTGGTCATCTGTCTCCAAGGAACAAAGTTTATCCATCATAAGTTGTCCGAAAGCTGGATTAGGGTACACCAAATCTCCTACCTCCTCCAACGATAACTCGCTTGTAGCCACAGAAAACCCTACCCCAGCTGAGTTGCAGTCGATCTCCAGCCGACCTTGCTGGGGGTTGAACCTCAGCCTTCCGGCCAAAAAATCATATTCCACCAGTAGTTTCTGCAATGCACGTTCAAGCATCTGGGCCACGGTTTCCGGTGGGAAAGCAGGATTTGCCAGGAAGAAATGGACGCTTTCAACGGTGAAGTTGAGAACTTGGTCTATATTTGAAAGGAAAATGGACCTTCTCTGGGTTTTCTCAGCTGGGAGGATGGTAGAACAACGTTGCAGTGAGACCTTTAGATCTGTACTGAGAGGTGGAACGTCTTCATGAAGGGGTTCCATTTGATGTTATAGATGATGGAGAAATTAATCAATACAATCCTGGTGCTCTAGTGCCATGCTTTGAGCTTTTATAGTACTTCATTCTGTCCTGCTGGACAATAAAATAAGTAGGGCCTGTATAGTAGTTGAGACTTGAGACTTGACAGGTTCAGTCATTAAATGACATTTTATGCTTTTAATCGGAGACGGAGAGAGTTGGATTGTTGGGGATTTATGTACGATACCCTCATTTTTTATTACAGCACCAGATTCAGATACCGTGGGCGTTTGGTAAGTTCTGGGCTATTCAAAGTGGGGAAAATTTTGGTCTTTTTCCAAAATAAACTACAGCCCATAAAGCTCTTTTTTTTTATGGATAGCTCCCCATAAAGCACCATAATAGATTAAGGTGCTTACTCAATGTGTCTTTGACCATGGATCATGAAAATATCTATTAATATAATATATATATATATACATATATTTAAAATATATATGTATATATTAATATGGTTATATTGCATTTTTATAGTTTTTTATATAAAAGGACATATAATAATAATATATATGATGAAAATAGTTGAAAAAAAACGTGTATACTTTTTGTTTTTGTTATATGAACTTTTATGTTTTTTTCTTTTAATAATTTGTTTAATTTTCATAATTTGAAATGGATTGGATCGAATTCGGATATCCAACATCCTTAACAGACTTAGATTTGAATCACCATTTATGAGATCCTATTGGCTCTTAGGATTAGCAGAACTTAGATATGTGCTATCAGATTGGATTCAGATGTACCATGATTCCAATCTGATCCAATCCATTTGCAGCCCTACCCAAAGGCATGGCAATTCTCAATGTACTGACCTAGCTTTTGTGCCTAATGTGGGAAGCTATTTTTTTCAAAATGATGATACTACCTCCTTAGTAAACAAAGATGAACTTTGAACAACACCATAACTTTAAAGCACTCTAGGGGCCCATTTAGTTGGCGGGAATAGGAGCCTAGAATCAGAATCAGAATAGGCCATTACGAGTCCAAATCTTTGGTTGGGCATTATTGGAATCTCATTCTCATTCCTGGTAGAAGGGCATTCTCCCATTCAAGGGAATGGTCATTCCCTCCCCCTCCTTTGGGAATGAAATCTCACTTCAACTGAATTGGAGAAATAGACCATTTCAAATCCAATTTTGAAGGGTTCCAAATCCGATGACTATAAACCAAACAGACCCTAAGTTTTATTGAAATAGGAGCACTTGAGTATATTTTCTCATTTGAAACTCTAATAGTCTAATTAGGCTATATGTTGGAGTTGTTGATTTGAGTGGCTATTGCAATTGTATCTGTTTAAAAATGATGGATATCAAGGGTATTTTTGTTGTGATGTACTAATGTGTCGGCAAGTGGTGATCCAATCACTTAATAATTAGAGCAAAATTTCAGATAGAAGTAGGGCATTGATATACAATTGGTAGGAAGATGACAACATCTCTAATTAATTTCAAGCAATAACAATGTCTCAATGTTCTAAAATCCACCTGTAAGTGCACACACTTTTGGTTGGAACTTGGATTGGCTCCCCAGAATACTCCCCAATAGGCCAATACCTACCTAACAGCAATTTATATTGCAGCCCCACATCAGAATTTTTTGCATACTTGTATGGTCTTGTGTTGATCAAAGTTGATTGTCACATCATATATGAGAGTATATTACATTGATTTGATATTTCAAATGTATGTACATGTCAATTATCAATCCTATGTAACAGTTGTATACCCATTTATATTCATATCAAGGGAGTTTACATCTCCGGCTCAGCACATCCCGCTGTGTATTGGGAATATCTCCGGATGATATATTGTAGGGTGGAGATGTGATGTCTCATCAGAGCTTCCGATAGACTATTAACCAGCTACATTATAACACTGTCCTTAGACATGTGGACCATATGAAGGAAGAAAAAAAAAAAAAAGCCGACAGAAACGATGGAAAAACGGAGTTACATAGCCTTTTAAATGAAAATATCCACATTAAGCAAAACTCTGATCGTTTTGATCTGATTCCAAAATGTTGGAGAGGGAACTGTTACAGAAGAGTAAGGATGAGAAGAGGGAAGGGTGACAGACCACTTAATGTTCAATTGCTCTTTTGGATAGAACCTTGCATGCTCAAGGAGTAAAAAACAGTTTAATGATTGATAGCCAAATTAGTGTTAGTAATGGTAGTGGTATAATTCTTGACATTTCAAAGGTCAAGTTTAATAGAAAAAATGTAAAAGATAAAAATATTATTAATTGTTCATTAAAATTTTAAAATATGTTATTTTCTTTCTTTTCTTTTCCTTTTCTCGATTTCTTATTCTTCTCTCTTCATTTTCTTTGATGCTGCAAAAACCACTGTTAGGATTTGCAGTAGCACTCACCTTCACCTTTGTGCTAGGCACATCAATGCAACCAGTATGAGGTAAGAACAAAGATGTCACCTAACATGTTGCTACTGGCATCATTGGTCTCTAGAGATCACATGGGGTGCCTCACAGGCGCCCCCACATGCACACCTCAGCGTGCATTGAGAACATCTCCCATACTTGTCATCACGAGGTATTGACCCTAATGACAATCATACATCTGGCTTACACCTAGTTAATCAATCCACCTCTTAACCTAAAACCACTTGAAATTTTAAGGGGAATGGAGCTCGTACCTCGGTCACCAGAACAGGAAAGTATATGCACCTTGACCGTTGTAATGTCTCTAGTGGGTATCAGAGCACTGGTTTACCTCAATGATGAGGAAGAGAGGGAGAGTTTTACTTCAATGGGGAGGAGAGGAGAGTTTTACCTTGGTTACCTGTTCACGGGCCGGGCTTCGGGCCTGACTTACACTGTATCGAGTTCGGGCTTCAAATGATTACTTGTTTTACCTCGAATTGTTACCATTCAAAATTTATGAAATAGATGTTTTGCCCCCTTTGCATGTACTACCCTCTTATTGCTTCATACTTTGCTCCATTTTAAACTTCATTTTAAAATGGGCTTTTGCAATTCGAATTTCATAGTTCTTCTCTCATTGTTATGTGGTAGACTTTTCCAAGCTTATTTCTTACAAATGATCATCATGCAGTGAGTCTATAGTTGTCTAATTCCTTGGATAGACTTTCAATGTAGTGTCGAGTTTTGGTTTGTGTAGCAAACGGTGATGGGAGTTTAATTGTTTATTTGTGTTTGCAATGGACAAGTGCAGACATAAGAAATAGGGAAGAAGAAGAAGAAGAAGAATAGAAAGGTTGTCGACGGACGGGCATATAAGGACAGGTTATGCTTTCCATCTACTCAAACTAAGGGAAGGGATCAATATATATAGTTTATCCCAAAAGTGGAAGAAGGTTGAAGCAGTTGTTAAAAATTACAGGGGAGATGTTTAAATAATGGAAAAATCTATGATGTGGAAAATATATGATATAAGAAAAGTATTGATCAATCAAAACCCATTCATGAATTTTCATAAATAACACTTAATTGGCAGCCACGTTTATAATTCTAGTTGATTGATCAGAAGTTTTTGAGATATCTTATCTTTCCCATATCATAATCGAACCCATAAATAATTTTTCCTAAAATAAAGTACATAATATATAAATATATTATCGGCTAAGCTGGGCCTAGGCAAATAGTTGAGATGGTCAGTTAACACCCTTCTAAAATATGAGGTGTGAGATCAAACCCTTAGAACCTTAAATTCTATATTATTGCATGGCTAGTGGACCTCACATGCACCCTCCTCCACCACCAACATACATGCACCCTGCTCTATGTATAGATCACATTTTCTGGTTCCATGGTCCAATAAGAAAAATAAAAAGTTCATAGAAGTGACATGACGTTTTGTCCTAACTTTGTGGGAAGCTAATATGCAAAAAGTTCATATCTACATGAGATCTTGTCTCTTTTTCTGTAGTAGCTACCATAAGTTTCTGCTGTGATGTCGAAATTGTATGGGAGGTTTAAATAATTTAGTCTCCGTTTGTTTATAATATAAATGTTTAACTAGGGTATTTATGTACTCTGGTTCACGTTTGCGAGCATTTGTTTGAAACATAAAAAAGTAATGATTATTAGAGTAAAAATGTATTTTCTGACATTTTTGTATTCTCAGAAGAAAACATTATTGTATCTGTTTTTTGGATACAATTTTGCGTTTTTTTGATAATTAACCTTTTGACCAAGTTAATGCCTTAGAGCATAAGATAGTTGGAGCATTTAATGATGGATCCACACTTTTGTACCGATTTCAAACAAACAGAATGAATGCAAAAACGGTTTAAAATGTAAACCGTGTTTTATATTCATGAACCGAAAAATGAATAAATATGTAATGTACATATTTACATTTGCATTGCAACCAAACGCAGCCTTAATGGCATATCATAATGTTATCTCATTGATATTAGAATTTCTTCAAATGAATGCTTGCCCTTTTGACACATTTACTTCCCGTAGGCCATACATTCTGTTCTATTTTCAGTTACACGGATTTAAAAAATGGCCAATTCAGCATCTATCCTTCCCTGGCCAGACGTCCCATTCTTTGTTAATACATGGGGGAATAATCACAGCCACTCGACCATCAGTTCAAACTCCCATTGCATTAAATAACTTGTGATTCTAAGTTCTAACCATTCAAATTCTACTTTCTTTTCTCTCTTTAATGGTGTGGGTCATTGATTAATGACAAGTTGTCATGGGTGGAGACCAAGTCTTAATCAAGCTAGAGAAAAAACAAGAAAAAAAAACAGAAAACTATCAAGTATAGTCAGCTACTTTCTACGGCTTTTAATGCTTCATTACTGAACGCACTATATGAAATGACACTCATATGATGTGGCAATGTATATTTATACAAATTTATATTGATCAGCCCAAAACGCAAGGTCAATGCAAGACCACTGTATCAAACATCTCCATATTTAATGAATTATTCATTTTGTATATAATTACGAGTTGTAGAATTTATGATAGAAACATAGGGCTCATAATTCAGTTTAACCAATAAATCCAATATAGCTCAAATCAGAAACGTTTAAGAAATTACAGTACAATGACAAAGTGGTATTTGCATTCATTTATAGGGTGATAGGTTCCTGACTCTCTTGAAAGGTCACTAAATATACGGTCCCACATTTTTTTACTCGGTAATTTTGAAAATAAACATCATTGAATTAAACTTTTGCTAGAAAATCCCCATAGTTTTACCAAATTGTAATGTCTCCCGGAAATTGGAAATCAATAGCTTATCATCCAAACAGCACCTTCACTCCAGGTTCATAACTCCATATCCAATTCATGGCAAAATGCCAAACAGAACCTCCACTGCCTATATCTTTCTATTTACTTGGGGAGTGTTTTGTAGTGTGGATGAGAAATTGGTGGATGTAAATTGGTCTACACCACACTCTGTGGCAGGGACCAATCCACACCAACCATAATCTACAATTCATAACTCCATATCCAATTCATGGCAAAATGTCAAACAAAACCTCCACTACCTATCTCTTTCTATTTACTTTAGGAGTGTTTTGTAGTGTGAATGAGAAATTTGTGAATGTGAACTGATCAACACCACACCCTATGGCAGGGACCAATCCACACCACACCACAACCTACAATTGTTCTGAACCGTAGACAAATTATGTGAACTGAACCAGTCCACACCACACTTTTTGATTCAATATATCTCATACACATTTTATGAATGATCTACACAATCAATCATAAATGTCTAATTTTTACATTTTATATGATAAATATATTGAAAAAAAACATCAATAAATTAATACTAACCAATAAATATTAATTTTAATAAAAACAATAGTAAAATAATTAAAAAATAAAAAAAATACTTTAAATATCAAAAATATTATTTTATTAATAAAAACATTGAAATAAATAAAAAAGAGTGGACAACAAACACCATCAGACTTGTGCTAGAATTAAAGTTAAAAATTATTATTTTAAAATATAAAAATTAAAAAATATATATAGAAGAGATGTATTATACAAAATAAAGTATGGAAGTGTTGCAGATTGACCACATCCACAAGTGTTGCGGATTGATCATATATATATATATATATGATCAAGATTTTGGGTTGTGGATGAAAACAGTCCATGATATAGTGTGGACTGGTCCTGTCCACCAACAATCGAACGGGAAATTCATCCCATGACATGGACCAAAATGGTCCATCCACGAGATAAACACGTTACAAAACACCACCTTATTTAGACAAACTAGACACCGAGTCCCGAGGCCTGAATCAACCAGAAATGGAAGTTCACTTCCATGCTAACAATCCTATCGCGAGGATATAATACAGAATCCGAATCTCCTGCCCACGTCAACCCACAACACACTATCCCACCGAGAATACAAGAAACCCAGCCAAACGAAATCATCATCTAAGCCCCGTAGCGAGCATATAGGGTCGGCCAAATCCAGCCAAACCAAATGCTCGAGTTATTCTTGATCACAACCTTCATCAGATTTCTCCCCACGTTGGATTATCTAAATTTTTAACCATCAAAGTGTTTTTAATGGTTCTACCTGCATGGCACATACAAAAAAAAGTCTTTTGCATGATCATCATCATATTAACAAGATGCTCAACACTTTTTTGATTGGTTAAGATCCTCAACCACTTCATAGAAAGGAAAACAGCCACAAATGTCTACACTCATACATATGGTTATGATTTACTGGTTCAAATTCTGTCATAAAAGATTTTCCATAAAGGACCCATTAGCTGTATTCACAAGTGAGGTTTCAAGTATGCATATACTGTGCAAATGGATGTATGGTAAACAAGAAGGGATGTGTAGCTAAGCAGGATAAAGTCACCCCAGAAAAGCCACAGGCCTCAAACTTTTCTCATCAGAAGAAATAACCTCTGGTCCAACTCAAAATTTGCAGCATTGGAAGGGTCCCCCTTCAACAACATCAGAAGTCCACCATACGAGGCATAGATCTCCCTGGGACAATAAATAAACAAGTAAAGGACTACAAAACCAGAAAATTGGAGAAAAATCAATTAACTACTTAGTATCAAAGACACATGGGAACAATTTTACACGTACACTTTTACATTCGCTCCTGAACCTTCCTCTGAGATCTTGTACAGTTTCCCATGCATGACATACTCGAATTTGTCTGCAAGTGACTTTCTCCCTACCTGAAGTTGTATCAAGAAACAGATTATTGCAACCATGGCCTTTAAATACTATTTTTGGAGGCCTGACAAGCCAACGCATAAACAATAAAAAAAAGTGTAATTACACAACTATATATAAATAATGTATGTATCAAGAAGCTTTTAATGGTCATACGGAATAGAGCTCAAATAACCTTTTGGTTTAGATATTTTGCATATATTGTTGGTGGTTTTTATGACCACCTTGTAAGGATTGGGTTAGCATCTCGGTTCCATATCATAGTCCACCCCTCCCAAGACCCCTGATAGCTGGGACCATAAATAGTAAATTTCTATAAACTCTTATGACCACCACCATGGACCAAAGTCGATACCAAGACTACTATTATGTGTGAGCGTGGGGTCAACTAGTCAACCTGTTGTCTTTGACCATCACCTATAAAATCCAAATATCAGTAATCTTGAAGTCTTGAGTCGTGTCACTTCCACATGTCAGATTGAGATGAAAATTTACAGTATTTGAGAACTTAAGTGTACTAAACCAAATTTCAGCCAAAACAACCAAGGTTTGACTGGTCAAATAGTTGCTTCTTTTTTGGTGAGCAGTGTATTCTGCAGGTTGCCATCTGACCCCTTTGTCTCCCATTTCTTCTTTGTTTCCATAGCATCAGTATAGCATCAGAAAACCAGGGTCATCGGGTGTAAGTGGAATAATAAGAAATGAGCAAGGCAATATTCTAATTATCTACTCAGGGTTGGTTGGTCAAGGAGGCTCCACAAGGGTTGAGTTATTAACCGTTTAACATGGCCTTAAAGTGAGCAATAAAAATTATGTCAAAACTTAAGAAACATACTGGTAGGTAACACCATAGTTGTAACGGGAAAGCTAAAGATAAATAGGCAAGGAAGATGGCAGTACATACACATTGTGAGGGATATGGAGTCTAATTGACGAAGGTTCAAAGAGAATTAAACAGTTTCGCTGGTCCTTTGGCTAAACAAGGGGTAAAAAGAGATCAATTTTCTAGGCTTGATAGAAAGTAAATGAGGGGTAGGTGGCAGAAGGAGCCTACACATAACACATGGGATGCAAGGCATATTTTCTAAAAGCAAAAGGAAACTTCATTAAAAGAAAAAGAAAAAGATACAAGCAGATGAAGTGATTTGACAACAAGAATTATATCCAAATATCAACACCAAAAGAAAGACATCATCCATGCCTTATTCAAACTATAAGGGGTTGGTTACATGAATCCTGTTTTGCCGATCCATTCTATTTAAAGTCATATCCACTATTAAATTCTTTTTGGTCTACCCCTCCGTAAATTTACAGGATTTTAAATTCTTTGAAATCCAAATATCAGTAATCTTGAAGTCTTTAGTTACGTCATTTCCACATGAATCCTTTTTGGTCTACCCCGAGCTCTTCTTCCAACTGGCGCAGTTGGTGGTCTTCTATGCATGTACCCAAACCATCTTAGTCTACTCTCTCATTTTATGACCCATTGGAGCTACTCCTAGGTTCCCACTGATAACTTCATTCCTAATCCTATCACTTCTAGTTTTACCACTTGTAAACACCCCATTTTTGCTCCCTTCAATCTTTTTCAATTTCTCTACAGCACTTGATCTTCAAGCAATGCTTCATCCAACCTCTTAATCAACCTAGGGGTATTTTTGGGATTTTTGCTTCAAACGACCAAACTAACCCAATCAAATCAATTGATACATAGAGCCTGAAATTTTAAATCCAACAATACCAAGATTTCCCAAAGTCGTCACTGTTCACCCGTCCATTTTATAACCCAGAGCCAGAACCGATCTCAACCCTTGGTTTGGAATCTTTTCGATCCTAAGTCGAATGTTACAAATCCGACCTAACAGATACATAGATCCTTAAATTCTGAATGCAGCGATTCCAAGACTGCCCAAACCCGTCACTATTCATCCCTCTATCTAATGACTGAGAGCCAGAACCGATCTTGATCCTTGGCTTGGAATCTTACAACAAGCCGAATGTTATAAATTCGACTTGACAGATACGTATAGCCTAAAATTTTGAATCCAATGACACCAAGATTGCCCAAACCTGACACTGTTTACTCCTCCGTCATAAGACTTAGAGCCAAAACTAATCCCGACCCTCAATTTGGAATCTTTTCGATCCCAAGCTAAGCGTTACAAATCCAACCTGACAAATATGTAGAGCCAAAACCGATTCCGATATTGTTCACCCCTCCATTCTATGACCCAGAGCCAAAACCGATCCTGACCCTCGATTTGGAATTTTTTAATCCTAGACCGAACGTTACAAATCCGCCTTAACGGATACATAGAACCCGAAATACTAAATCCAATGATACCAAGATTGCCTAAACCCGATACTATGCATCCCTCTATTTAATGACCCAGAGCCAAAACTAATCTCAACCCTCGATTAGGACTCAACAAACATGTAGAACCCAAAATTATGAATCCAACGATACCAAGATTTTCCAAAATTAATCTCATTTACCCCTCCATCCTAAGACCCAAAGCCATGATTGATTCCGAATGTATGCTTGGAATCTCTCCAATTCTTAGCCTTGCTTCACATCAAGACAAAAATTCGAAATCATAGCACATAATCTTGAAATGCTGAATCCAACGGTTCCAAAAATCTCTCAAATCCGATACCATTTACCCACCCATGCTGAGACCCGAACTCACTGTTTCCAACCAATCATAACATTCAAATTGGGACCCCCCATAATAACACACTAGGATTAGAACGTCTACCATTTTTGGATTCTAATGAGATGTTCTATCTTATCTTGCAAGTTTTATCCTAATCCAAAACAGATTAGGATTACACTCTAAGGCGGCATTTGATAACACTTTTCAGACGTCTAAAGTCTGAAATATATGCTTTTCAGATGCAATGCTTATTTGGTGTTGCATCTGAAATATGATCTGAAAAGTTTTTTCATATCTGAAATATGATCTGAAAAGTTTTTTCATATCTGAAATTTTAAGACTTAGGCCCGTCACTTAGACGCATTTCTAACGTGGCCTAAAGTCAAAAGATACCCTTACACCATGTTTCTAACATGGCCTCTCTCTCATCTGAAAGACCTACCCTACCTCTCCTGCCTTCCTACCACTACCGCTGCAAGTATACGATTATGGGTGATCCCAATTTGAATGTTACAGTTGGTTGAAAACGGTTTGAGTTTGAATCACAAGATGGGTGGGTTAATGGTACCAGATTTGAGAGATTTTGGAACCGTTGGATTCAACATTTTTGGGCTCTAAGTGCCTATGATTTCGGAATTTTGTCTTGATGTGAAACAAGGTTGAGGATCAAAGAAATTCCAAGTATACAATCAGAATCGATCCTAACATCAGGTCTTAGGATGGAAGGGGAAACGAAATCAGTTTCAGAAAACCTTAGTATCGTTGGATTCAAAATTTTGGGCCCAACATGTTTGTTAAGTCAATTTTGTGAGTTAGGCTTGGGATTGAAAGGATTCCTAACCGAGAGTCAAGATTGATTTTGGCTCTAGGTCTTAAAATGGAGGGGTGAATAGTGTCATCTTTAGGCAATCTTGGTATCATTGGATTCAAAATTTCGAACTCTACATATCTGTCAAGTTGGATTTGTGACGTTAGGCTTGGGATTAGAGAGATTCCTAACCTAGGGTCGGAATTGGTTCTAGCTCTGGTCTTGAAACGGAGGGGTGAACAATGTCGGGTTTGGGTAATCTTGGTATCATTGGATTCAGAATTTTGGACTCCACGTATCTGTTTGGTCAGATTTGTGACATTAGGACTAGGATGACAAAGATTCCAAACTGAGTGCAAGCATCAATTCTGGCTCTAGGTCATAAAACAGAGGGGTTAACAGTGTCAGGTTAGGGCAATCTTGATAATAGTTGGATTCAAAAGAATGTTTAAAACCAAATAAATCAACTATTAACATCCACTTAACAATTCTTTTTTGCCAGTTGCTTCACATGTCTAACAACGTCAGAGCCACCAAACTCCTTAGAAGTGTGGACCCCACTTAACCTTCTTGTCCCCTTGAAATCTAGAAAGGAGCTAAAATGTCCCTCCACCCAGCAACCTTCAAACCCATCGACTTCTCCCCTCTCCTCCGCTATGTAATCCTCAAGCACTTCATTAAATAGAACAATCGCATCCCTTGTTTTTGAAATTACTTCTTACTCCCACCCTTTTAGTTCCATCATCTTGAACCTCTGGACGATCTCCTCCTTACAAGTCATTCCAACCACCTTCCTAAGCACCGAGCAACCATCATGAGAGATTGAAATTTTCTTCACCCTCCAAAACATCAAATCTCCTTCAAAAAGGCCATTTTTGCCCTCAAACTATGTTGAAAATGGAATTTTAAGGCTAAGATAATTGATGTTAGAGATGTTACCAGTTTCATTAAACATATAATGAAATAATATGCCTGACTTATGTGGCATTGTTCAAGTCAAAAAATAATATGATGCTCAGCTTATGAATTATGTGTAGTTCCCACATAAAATTCTCACTTGTTGACATGTAACCAAGGGAAAAAAAAACAAAAATAATTATTTTTATTTAATCATTAATTATTAATAAATTATTAATAAAACAAATAATAATAATTTGCTCTAACAACTTAATTAATTTCAAGGGGAAAATAACAAAGTGGGTCTAATTTAAAATCCCCACCTATTCACATTTGACCAAGAATAAAAATAAAATAATTGTTTATTTAATACTCAATTACTAAACAATTATTTCAATTTAATAATAATTAACTATAAATTATTAAAAATATAACAAATTATTAATAAATCATAAAATAATAATCTGGCTCTTTCAATTTAAGAAATTTCAAGGAGAAAAAACAAGAGGATCCCACTTAAAATTCTTACCCACTCACATAAAAAATAAAGAATTATTAATTTATTAATAATTTATTGGGCAAATTTTTTAAACTATCCCTAAGGTTTAGCTAATTGACTAACTCTACCCCTACTATTTGA